TAATTTCAGCATACTGTCACATGCGTTGCATTTTTAAGAGGTGTGTCAAGTTAGAAATAGTCCAGCTTTATAAACCCATTCTGCTCCATTCTGTTAAACTCATCTACCTGATTTAAGCCTGTGTTATACTTTCCGCGTGCACGAGTCCGCTATGGTATGCATGATGTAAAAATCGTCATCGGAAAGTGTGCGCAGAGGCTCTGCGCGGACATGTGCGTGACTCCCATTTTTTGTGTATGTAGTAGGCTACAAAAGCACCAACTGCGCATGCGCAGACTGTGTGAAGAAGCCCGTAGCTACTCGAACCCATACAATCCGTTGATAAAACAATATAAAGACACCCAGATGTGCAATAACTCTAGGTAATTGTTTGTTCACGTTTCTTTACTGTTCAAGCTTATCTACTGCGCATGTATGGAACACGTCCGCAGATTGGACCATCAGTGTATGCTTTCGGTAGTATAAATACAAGTAGTCCGCGTACACGCTGTCCGTGTACGCGTCCGAATTGCTCATGCGGAAAGTATAACACAGGCTTCAGAATGCAATAAAGGTAAGAAAGGTGTCCAATTGGGGTCAGTTGAACACGAAACCTGCATATTTATGTAAAGCTTCCATAAGACCATTAGGCCAAGTAGTGTGCAGATAACCCACTGATTAGTCATTTTTTATGCTTATAAGTGTTTGGAATGTTTTCACAAGAAGTCAGCCAGAGTTTGGAAACCTGAGGCACCAATCAGAAGGAGCCTTTTGTGGGATGTCAAACTGGTCATACTGAGGACGTCATTCCTTGTCCCACTCCCCCTCTTGGGCAGCTTCATTACCCAAGTCACAGTGGGTCAAGCTGGCCTGTGGTGCCACTGAAACCCAAGCTTTCCTAACCCAGACCGAGACCTAGAAGCATGCGGTGTCACAAGCGCCATGACTTTATCACTTCCCCTTTGCCCCATCTTCATCTTCTCTTCTGCTTTATCTCCATCCCTCCAAAGGCTCAGCTTTATAGGCCACCTCCAGCCACGGACCCAGCGGTATTAGCCTGAAAATCCAAAAGAACAGAGGAAAGCAGCTATGTATGTCTGCAGTGAATCAAGACAGTTTTAAGAGAGAAATTTCCCTGTGGTTTCCCAAAAGCATTGCATTTCATTGGTTTTACATTTATATTCACCCCGCTACTCAAGTATCAATGGTGTTTTGCTTGTGTTCAGTCCGATTAATGTAGTCGCACAGAATTAATTGATATTCATGAGTAGCGTGGTCACAGAGGGTTGATTGGTCCTCTTCCATATTGGAGCATTTAGGATAGAGAGGTTTAACCTCATGTACCATTGCAATGGACGTCTGCCATCTTTATGATCCTGCTCATTAAAATTAACTGTCTGGCTGTAAAAATAGATTTCCTTTTAATGCTGCCTTCTGGATTCTCTTACGCACCGCTGATTGAGTGTAAAAGAAACCTTGCTCACGTGCATGTTTTCGCTTTTTCTAATTTTACTTTCATTTCAGCTCTTGATGAACGTGTTGTTGGTTCAGAGGCAGCAAATGGAAAACATATTAACATGACTAAGAATTAAAGACTGAATAATTGAAATAAAAAAAATGTCATGACCAAAAACATTCGTGAATAATTCAGTTTATAAAGTGATCAGCCATAGTGATATTTGTTTTATTACCATTCTTACAGTTGAAAAAAACAGCTCATTGTTAGTGGACTGAGTGATTGAAGCCAATACATTGCCAAAAATGTACAATTAAATTTATAATAATTTTCCAGTACTTTTTTCCTTACTTATATCACACAATATTTGGTTATCATTGTACCAGACTGGAAACATAGATAACCAATATCAAATGCCAACCGTCTAAAGTCACACAGTTTCAGTTATAAAAAGGGAAAAGGAAGTCATACAAAAGTTATAAATTTGCAGGATGGTTTTTCGCTCATGGGACCTTGTTTATCATGGGGTTGATATTATAGTCATAAATGAAATAATGCAGTTCCCACTCCACGCTCCATTCTTTGGGGGAATACCCTTTATTTAACAAGGCAAATTTAAGAGACCTTTTTAAAAGTTTGGCCTGCCCCTTTAAAGGCAAACCCATCAAACTCGAGCCTTTTGATCAACCCAGTAACCTCCCGCCCTTCCCACAGGGCTTTTTTTAACACCATCATTATTAGGCCTCAACCCATCAAGCCCGTCTTCCAGCGGGGCACAGCCCCCCCTGTTGGACCCAGTGCTGGCCCATTGCATACAGGGTCTGAAAGGGGACGAGGCCCTAGCGCTCAGCCTGGACCTGAAACACTTCTCTTCTGTCTATAAAAATACAAAGAGGAGGTGTTCTCCTGCTTCTTATTCTCATTTTCTTTCCTGTCAGAGTGCTTAGAGTTCACCATTTTACAGGGAGTTTGGGGTCAGGTGGAGATGATAGGGTTGTTTACCCCTGGTGCTCATTTCACCCGTAGAAGCTCCACGTTGGCCTTACCTTCACCCTCACCTGGCTATCCAGGATGGCGCTCTGGTCCTATAAAAAGAGTACAGAAGGTCGACGGAGGATTTTGATGAACTCACAGATATCGTCACCTGTAAGTATATCTTTTTTTTCTGGGTTTACTTTGAGGGGGATTCTGAGAGCTGGATCTTTTAACAAAGCCTTTGGGCTTTTCGCAGTTCCTCTGTTTGTTGACTTTACAACCAGGAGCTTGGCTCCAAGGCCAACTGAATCAGCCCTCAACTCTTCTCAAGAGTAAATATCTGTCTCCAAATCTGTCTAAAGGTTTCACTCCTGATCTTCTGACAAGAGGACTCATGTAAAAACAAAAGGTTCACCTTATCCTAAGCTTCTTTTCTATTCTGAACTTCTTTCAGTAAGCAAGGGAAGCCTGGTGGCGCTTTTTGAAAGTCCTGAGGCATCTTCTGCTGCCAAATCTTCCCCATTATCTTCCACTTCCCGGGCTGTGACGTTTGGTCCAAGGCTTTTATGACAGGGTAGGCAAGGGGCATGAGGAAATGAAGTGACCCCAAGGTCAGCAGTGGAGTCAGACAGCTGAAAGTGGATTGTGGCCCTGCCACCTCTGGGGTACAGCGGATTGGGCCATCCCCGTGTACTACAGAAATGGAAACTCTGGCAATGGTGGGACTAGACCATCTTCGATCCTTGACCTTGCTCTCATGTGCCTTTAATTAGGATAGATTTAAAATTGTTTACTAGCTCCACTGGTCTTAAATCCATCCAATCCCCCATTCTTTTGCGTCCCCCCATCCCAACATCCCCCCTCACTTGACTGCCCGCTGTTTCAGAGTCCCTCTTTTCTTCTTTCTCTTTAATATGGTGTTGGACGTTCGTTTATGATGCTTTTTTAACTGGTTCTTAGGCACGAGTTACAAGCTATTTGGGAATCTACAAAATTGGATGCTGGGGACACCCTTCTAAAATGTTAATCTGTTGCCGATATGAAAGGTTGCTCACCTCGGTAAACCCTCTCATCCGATGGAACCAGGCCATTTTTACGGCCCCATCAGGCACCCGCCTGGATGACTTACTGCTGACCTCTTGACATGGCAGTCAAAGCCATATGAGGAGAATCTTTCTCATTCTGTGTCTTCCACCCTGAGTTCATCTATTCACGCTTGGAGGCCAAAGGTTGGTTTATTTATCGTCTCTGTGTGCCCAAAAAGATACCCAGCCTGAATTCCTGTAAATTGTCCTGGCATGTCGGCCTATAAAGAAATCATAGCATGTGATGTCAAAGTACCAAAGGTCTTACAGTTGCTTTGTCCATTTCTTCTCGCTAAAACAGCTATATAGCATGAACCCTTGGTGGGGGGGGGGGGGGGGTTTGA